ATCACCCAAATTTATCACGCTTTAAAAAATTGTAATAGCGAAAGATAAAAGCGAGATAACATTCACACAAACGAAACCATAACATTGCCTAAATTAGGGTAAAAACAAAATATTATTTAATTTAATAATTCAATAAAAGTAATACAATAACGAATCAGTCACTTTCATTCCATCACAATGGATCTCATGAGAGAATTATTGCTTCGTGAAATTTATTTCCACTCATAATTTTGTCATAAATTTATAAAATTTATTTCTATCAAATTTCTTTTCAACTCATTTTCTTGACGATTACTGTGATTTAATTTAAAGAATTGACAGCACAATGCATTACCGTACGTGACACATTCGACATTTTCAAACATTCCAAATTTTCATCACTTAAATTTTGTTCAAAAGGAACTAGAAATTACTAAAGGCAATATCTATGCTAATTCAAGCATATAATGCTTGACGGTAACAGCAATAATAAATAATAATTATTATTAATGACAAAAATAACTTTAACAGTAATATTGGTTTCAAACAATAACTTTAAATTATGGTAAGATAATAACAATATGTCACTAATAGCGATAATAAAAACTTATAGAAGTGTCAAAAAAAATTTTTTCAAATATAAATCATAGCTTTTTTTCTTTTTACTTACAAATAACTAACATATCAAAGAAAAATAAAAAAAATTTTGAAAACATTTTAAAAAAGACGAAATTATATGCATATAATTCATCTTATAGGTAAAGAAAAGAAACAAAGGAAACGAAAGGAAATTTTGATTTTTTATTTTATTTGTTCATAAATTGGATTATATAATATAGGTTGTTGGAGTGGAAGAAATGAAGGCAAATTATTGTTTTGCATTTTCTATTTTCAATTTTCGTTTTTTTTGTGTGTATGCCTGTTTTTCTTACAAGTTTCCCATGTTATAGCTCAAGGATATACTTATTTCTTTCTCTCTTTCTTTAAATGCATAAACAATAATTTAAACCATTTGCATGACTCCCCGTACCAAATACAAAAAAAGTGAAAAAAAGGAGAAGGAACGGTGGAAGGAAACGGTGGAAAGAAAAGGAAATGAGGAAGAAAAAAATCGAATAATAAGGGAAAAAAATGAATAGGAAGAATATGAGAAATGATTAAGTTGAAAATATAAACTTTACGGACTTAGGGAAAGTTGGTTAAAAAAACTTGAAAATGGAAAAAACGATCACCTGATACTATATGATTTTATAAACATTTTTTTATCCATTCAAAATTAAATTTGCAATAGTAATAGCATTAATATTAATAATTAGTGAAAAATGCTGTCAGTAAGTACTTTTTAACTTAACAATTTGACTTACATTTTCCCTTTTTCAACTTCAGGTTTTGTACAGATTATCCAATTAATGTTTGAAACAGCAAAATTTCATCTTGAAAAAAAAGATACCAAGAATTTTAATTTTTCACATAAACTGCAAAAGGTATTATCATCAGAATTTTGTTAAGCAGAGAAATAGTTTAATTTTTAAAATTCAAAAAATTTAGTTTTGAAATGATTTTCTTTCCTTTTTTTCCTTCGCTGCGTAATATTCATTTCAATACATATAATTTTGCTCTAATTTTCACTTTTCAATTTTCATGGAACGTTTGAAATTTAAATTTGTATGCAAAATTTTCTTCAGCGATATAATATGCATTAGAAATATAGTTTCCTTATCTCTTTCTAGCATCATTACTATATTCATAAAAATTGAAAAATTCAGGCCATCGTTATCAGTGCGATTGCGTATTATCATTTGTAGTTCATTCAAAACACATTCTTTGGATTAGAACTAAATATCTAAAATAAGATTTGAATCTTGAAATAAAAAGATATAAATGGTATTACCAATCAGAAAAATTAAAAATTAAATAGATTGAAAAAAAATTAACAAAAAAAATCACGCAATGTGCACTATTCACCGATTTGATCAACCCAAATTTCATTGCTTATTGTTTAATCATTTGTGATGGAATTTATGGGGTGATTCTTATTTAATTAATCAAATTAAAGGATATAAAATATGATGGATTGTTTCGAATCAATCGTTTCCGGTTATTTTTTCTTGTACTAATTGAATTTGTAACCCAGTTTTCGGATATCAGGCAGAGTCCCTTACAGTTTTCCGGAAGAATCAAATTAAACATTAATAATAGCATTTCATATATTCAATCACACACTGTTTATATATTGTACTACTAAAGAAACAATTCGAAATTCTCAAAAGAATACGAATATCACATTTTTATAACATACTATCATGATTAATTTCAATCCATAAACTGGTTGCATTTTAATTTATTATAATAAGTTATTTATTTCTGATCGCTAATTAATTTTATGTCATAAAAAAAGCGATTTATAAAGTACGCAATTAACTTCCGAATTTTCTTTTGTTATTATAGTAAATTAAAAGATATACTTATTTGAAGTTATAAAACAAAAGTCGAATAACCCACCTAAAGCATTAATTAAAATTAGTTCAGGTAATACAATAATAGCTAATGTTGCCACAAGCAACAGCTGCATTTAGCAGAAAAATTATAATTGCTTTCAGGAATAGTATTCAAATTAAACAATTCAAAATTCAGTGAAATGATTGCAAAATTTTACAAAAAAAGATTTGTTTGTATTTTTGTTTTGGAAGAAAGTTGAAAGGTGGCAAATAGTGAAGTAAAGTGAAGTACTGAGGCAATTAGTATTAATCAGTGAATAGAAGAATAATATGTCTGTCAATTATTGTTTCGAATATTATGATTCCGTTGCAATGCCGCTCAATTCAGGTTTAGTTCAATCCAATTCGTTACAGTGAAATGATTCTTCCGGCACAAACTAACCCAATCCACCGTTACGGTGCTGTTGTTGTTGTTGTTAATAAAACTGTTGCCCGAATTTCGTCTGGTTCAAAACCTTTCTTTGATCAGCAAAGGCAACAACAGAATGGCCGCAGAAGAGAGATCAACTCAAAATTACCCCTTTTCTATCTCCTGCAATCATCGATCTCGACCCGCTAGTCCCACCTCCTCCTTTTACCCTCCCCTGTTCTCCGATCTTTTCCACCTTTCTATTAATTATAATCTCAACCTTCTGTTCAATTATGCCCAACTCTCGACCTCTGACAATCCTTTTTGATGTGCTAACAAATCGCGGTTACAGACGGGTGAACGGACTAAATGAACCGGCCATTTCGTTGACCTTTCCTTGTATCGCCGTTTTCCATAGGTATATTTTCCTAATTCTACCACTTCGTCTATTCTTTTCTCACTCTTTCCCCCGTCTATCTCGATCAAAGATACCGATAGATTCTCTAATATTGAGCATTAAAAGGTGACAGTAAAATCGTCATCCACCATTACAATACGCTCTCCATACTAATACCGCCATTTGCTATCGAATTCTCTGCTATTCGAAGAAATTCACCAATATGTAAACAAAACAATCATTACTCAACTTTCTTTCTTCTTCTTCTTCCTCTTCTTTCTCTTTCCTCATTTTTTTCCCTCTTTCTCTTTTTTTTTCAAATCATACTTCATTTTCTTTCCATTGTTTAATATTTGCAAACATTTAATTTACTTCAATTTTTTCAAAATTTGAAACAAATCCGAAAGAACATTTATTTTAATTTTACACTGCATACAACAATACACACAATTCGATGTTACTGTATAATACAGTAACCCAAATTGTATCGTAATTTTAGTATTATTTATTTAATTTCAAAGCTTAATTGTCAGTATAATCGAATACTTTTTGTTTTCTTATCTTCTTTTTTTTCGTTTGCACAATGTTAAAGAAAGTAAAAAAAAAGAAGAAATACCGTATCATACCTGCTTTAGAACAATTTGTTCCAGGATTTGAAGGATTCAAATCGATATAACCATCAATACAACGACATACGAAACCATCTTTAGTCCCAACACATTTCGATTCTTTCGATTGGCATCCCGTAAAGTTCGGTGAATCACACGAATTAATTACTGAAAAAAAAATGTAAAATAAAAAGATCATCCGGTTTTCTTCTAATATTATTTACTGCAATGCGGTAGATAATAAAAATTATTACCTGACATCAATTATTTCTTAACCTATTTTTTGTGATTTCTGGCAAAATTCATAATATTTTTGTCCATAATTAACAAAATTTTCCAATTCACTAACAACACAACAAATATGAATTAATAAGTAGATTAAATTGGTATAATTTAAAAATTCCAATTTTATGCAAAGAGACAATTTTTAGCATTGCTAATTTAGATTTAAGTTAGAATTGCGAAGTATCCAATTTCTCTCTTTTCGTCCTTTCAAATAAAAATGAAAAGCCTACACTTAGAACAAACTCGGCCAGGCTTGTTAACCGGATCCGGTGATTTGTCTGCAAAACCATGCGGACATTTGCATGTGTAATCATGCGTCATATCTGTGCAAATTGCTTTCGGATCACAATCAGCTAAGCCCATTTGACATTCATCTATCACTAAAAATCTAAGTTGCATCAAAAAAAGTGGATCGAAAAATTCTGTAAAATTCCCGGAAGTTGCAAGAAAAGGAAAAAAGATCAGAATTGTCGACAGGGCCAAAAAGTTTTCCAACACATCACAAATCTAATATAAATAATTTCCATGACAAATATAAATGAGCGACGACTGATATTATCAATGATTTTGCGAAGGTCAACGTACATTTATATATATCAGGGCAGATAAATAATTATATTTTAATTGTGGTTTCTTTATAGTTTTTTAAATTATTTTTTTCAAATAATTATGGTTTCTTATCAGTGATTGGTAAATGGCAAGATTTCTACAGTGTGGTTTACGAATATTTATTTTAATTAAAAAGATTTGCAACTTCTTTAAAAATCAGCATAAAGATGGAAAAATTCATAAAGAATAAAATTTGCTTCTTTAAAAAAACTTTAAAATTAATAAATTTTTTTATTTCTTTACCACTGAATATAATTTCCTTGAAAATGACTGGATTGATTCATTGTCATTATTGTCATTAAAATTATTAGTATTGCATAAAAGTATTATTATTATTGCTTGTGTTGCTGTCGTTGTTGTTGTCATTGTTGCTGTTGTTTTGTT